TGTGGTCCGGCCAATCCCCCCCCCCCCCTCCCATTCACCTGCCGCCCAATATGCCCAAAACCACTGGCCAGTGCTCAACTCGAGACCTTCCGCCAATTGCCGATCTTCACCGGGCCAGCTGACGAGTCGGAAGACAGTGATCTTGAAGATGCCGACCTCACGGAGGAGGATCTCAATGTCTCTGTGGCCATCGGCGCGCCGACTCCTACGCCCCCGAGCAGCGACGGAGACCATGATGCCAATACCCCCCTGGTTGACCCACCGATCGATGTTGCGGAGGGCCCAGCAGTCGATTCCTCAACGGCAGGCGGCCCATCTTCTGACGCCCCGGCGACCAACATCGCCGAGGACAGCCTGATGACCGATGCCCCGGAGCACAACTGAGCACAGGACTGGTCCCCATGCGTAGAACACCCCAAATACACCCGGAAACATGACTAGGAGAGACACAGACGGAGAGAGAGAGAGAGAGGGAGAGGGAGGGAGAAGGAGAGGGCGGAGAGGGAGATAGTGGGGGAGAGCAAGAACAAGGGACCGACTCGCAAAATGCCTCCTGTCGACACCGGGCGGCAAATGACCAGCCGCCCTGATGCCGGTCCCGGGTTCTCGCTTCGTGCCTGGCGATCCTCCCTGGAACGGAAAGGGCGAAGGACAGAATCCCCAGCACCTGCTCCCCTGCCACCTTCAGCACGGGGCGAACTACGATAGCCTTCCAACGATAGGCTCTTGCTCCGTACGTTGGCAGACACTTCTGGTGTTCGTCTCAACTGTTCTCCAGCCATTGCCCACAACCACGGCCTTGCCGACACGCACGAGCGCTCATGCGCGCGCGCGCCTGGGCAGGCAGCTGGCACCGACAAACCCAACCCCCGCCGGCCTCAGTAGGGGCAGACCCGGGAGAACAAGCGCACCCTGCCACCTTGGGGGCCTGGCTCCGTGGAGAGAAAAAGAAGGAAACGGGGCGGGGGGGCAACATGTTTCTCTTGGCTGAGGGGCCCCACTTCCGCGCGCCCCAGGGACCCGGCCGGACCGGATGGAGGGGTCTAGGTGACACCCAGCTGATTCCAGTGGGCTGGATATTTTTTCCGCCACGACCGAACATCGGGAGGCTATTTTTTCGACACGCACTTCCGGGCCAGCCACAACAGGGATGGTGACAATGACACCTGAACGCGCGGAGGCGTGGCCGGGGGGGGGGGGGAGCCACGCCGGGTGTGGACACCCTCTCATCCCGGAAATGAGGGTGGCCGCTTTTTTGTCTTTCCTTTTTTTCATGCGCCCAGTCGCCAAGAGCCCGGTGTTCTGGGCCGGAGGAGGCCAACGTGTCTCACCCTCGGCGGGCCGGCCGCCCAGCAGCCAACTGATGTCCTTGTCAGCGTTCTCGCCCCGGGGGGGGGGGGGCGGGGGGGCGTGGGGGCGGCACTCTTGTGAGGCCCCCTGGTTGTCCCAGGTAACCCTTGGCACCAGTGTCCTGTGCTCCCTCTCCCCTTCTCCCTCCCCCCCCCCCCCCGCCCGCCCTCATCTCGTGTGAACTCCGCCCCCCACCGTCCACCTTTCCTCCCATCAACGCTCCCCTTCCCCCCTCAGTGGCGGGCAATCGCTAATGTCCCCGGCCTCCTCGAAGCCGATGGGTCCCAGCGAGAAGGCCCTCTCGTCGGCGGTGTCCCTCGCCGACGGGGCGGCCTCGACGCGCGCACGGCCTCGGCGGCCGCAAGGCGACCCGGCCGCCGGGCCGGGTGTCTCTCTCTCGCCTGACCCCTCTCTGTCCACGGACAACCCGTACCTGGAGCCCACCTCACCGGCGGCCACCTCCAACGCCCTGGTTCGGTCCACCTCCATCAAGAGCGCCTCCTTCCATGTGCCGCGTCCGGTCTGGGCCCGCATCTACACTCTTCCCTATGCGACGCTTTACCTCATCGCGGCCGGCCTCTATGCGGCTGGCATCATTGCCAACCCGGATGTCTGGCTGCTCCTCGGTGTGGCCATGGTTTTTGGCCATGTCCTGCTGATCCTCTCCTGCCAGTGGAGTATTTCGCTGCGTGTGCGAGTTCTCTGCCGCGAGGTGCGTCGCCTGCTGCCTGCCCCCGATTTTCCCCTTCCCCATTTCCCATCCAGTGCTTGGCCAGGCTGACAGGTCCCCCCTCCCACCCGCCTTCTGTGCTGCTTGTCGGCCTTCTTGCTCGCCTCTGCCAGGTGACCGACCCGTACAAGGCCGTGTACATTCGCGTGGAGCCGGTCCCCCACAAGGGCAAGCCCACGGTTTGCCCCCTGCTCGTTGACACCGTACGTATGCCGGCGACTCCCAATTGGCCCGGCGTCTCTCCTTCTCTTGCTTCGCTCCCGGGGCAAACACCCTCCCCTCGCCCCTCTCCCACTAACCTGCTGTCCTTGCGCCCTTTCCCACTCCAGTCCACCGGTCAGCGTCAGCTGTACTTTGTGTATCAGCTGCGCAAGTTTGTCTATCATGAGACCCATAAGGTGCGCTTTTTTCTCGAGCCTCTCCTCCTTTCTGTTTCTGCTCTCGACTTTACGGACATCTCTCTTCCCTTCGTCCCCTGCTAACCTCTCGCCCCCCCCCCCCCTCTCTCCCTCTGCCCGACAGTACTTCTACCGCGAGCATTTCGAGACTAGCCGGCCGCTGCATTACTACCGCCAGTGGCGTGGGTATTCCAATGAGCTGGATGTCTTTGAGAACGAGCGCAAGTGGGGCCAGAACACGTGCGTTGCCATCCCCCTCCCCACTCCCCCTCCCACCCCCACACACCGTTACACTGCCGCACCATTCTCACGCTTGCTCCTGCCCCTCGCGCGCAGTCTTGCCATCCCCCAGCCCACTTTCCTGGAGCTCTTCAAGGAACACTCCATTGCCCCCTTCTTCGTGTTCCAGGTCTTCTGTGTGGTCCTCTACATGTTCGATGACTATTGGTACTTCAGCCTGTTCACGCTCTTCATGCTGGTGACCTTCGAGGCGACTGTGGTCTCGCAGCGCCTGAAGAACTTCACCGAGCTGCGCAACATGTCCCCCAAGCCGTTCCCTGTGAATGCCTTCCGCTTCGGTCAGTGGGTGGAGATCTCCAGCTCGAAGCTCATCCCAGGTGACATTATTTCGATTGGTGCGTATGCTGCTCCTTCTCACCGTGACAATGCCCCTCCTTGGAGTCGGCCACTTTCCCATCTAACAGCCCGCCGCCTCACACTTTGGCGCTAAAGTCCGCTCGGAGAATGATCGCGGCGTCCCCTGCGATGTTCTCTTGCTTGACGGCACGTGCATCGTCAACGAGGCCATGCTCACCGGCGAGAGTGTCCCGCAGCCGAAGGTTCGCCACTGCTACCTGCCCGCCCGCTCGCCCGCCTCCAAACCACTCTTTCGGCTGTCCTCTCTCCTGTTGTGCCGAACCGACCGACTGACCGCCTGCCGGGATGGCTCGGCTGCCCCTCTTTCCCCTCGACCCAGGAATCCCTCGCGGGTGTGACTGGCGTTGCACCGGGTGCCACTGCCGATGCAGCGGCTGCCGCGGCTGCCGAGCTCCTGGATCTGCGCTCGCGCCACCGGGCCCTTTGTGTCTTTGCCGGCACGAAGGTTGTTCAGGCTGAGTCGGCCATCAATGCCTCCATCGAGACCCGTGCGCCCTGACCTGGCCTCTCCACTGATGGCCACCTGCTCTTGCCCCACTCGCCTCCTCAACTCCCTGCTCACAACACTCGTTCTTTCTTGGCTATTTGTCCACCATAGCCCCTGACGGCGGGTCGCTCGGGTTTGTCTTGCGCACCGGCTTCAACACCTACCAGGGCAAGCTCATTCGGACCATTGCCTCCAGCACGGAGCGCGTCAGTGCCAACAGCGCTGAGAGCCTATTCTTCATCCTCTTCCTCATGGTCTTTGCCGTCAGCGCGTCGGTTTACGTCTGGATGGAAGGTGCGACACTGCAGATCTCGCGCATATATATTTATATATACGCACACCCGCATACACGTGGCTGTATCGGCTTCTCCTCCTTATCTCGATCCGATGTACACGCACAAGTTACTCCCCTCCCCCGGGTGGCCGCTCGCTCTTTTTCTCACTCTCTCCTCTTCTATGCCCCCCCCCCCCTGACTACCAGGCATCGCCAATGATCGCGATCGATACAAGCTCCTGCTCAACTGCATTCTCATCGTCACCAGCGTCATCCCCCCGGAGCTGCCCATGGAGCTGGCCCTGGCCGTGAACCAGAGCCTGGTGGCCCTGACCCAGAAGGCCATCTTCTGCACGGAGCCCTTCCGCATCCCGCTTGCCGGGAAGCTGGACATCTGCTGCTTCGACAAGACCGGCACCCTGACCACGGATGAGCTGACCCTCGAGGGTGTGGCCCTGCCCAGCATCTCCTCCGCATCCAACCCCCTGGAGTCCCTGTCCTCGGCGCGGCTGGCCCCGGGCCCGGCCTCGGCCCCCTCGGCGTCGTCGCTGATGCTGAATGCCGACCTCTTTGCGCCCGGCGCTCCGACGCACCTGACTCCGGTGGCCGGGCTCGGCCTGCATCCGGCTTCATTGGTGCTGGCGTCCTGCCACTCACTGTCGGCCTTGGACCCGAAGACCGCGGCTGCGGCGGCCAAGAAGCCGCAGGCTGCCGGGCCCAATGCCCCGGCCGCCCCCATGCGCATGATCGACTGCCTGGTGGGTGACCCGCTGGAGCGGGCGATGCTCGCGTCGCTCGAGTGGAACCTGCTCAGCCGTCGGGATGACACTTCCGGCCTGGTGCCCCCGGGGCAGACGATGATGACGGCCGTGTCGCAGCCGGAGGCCGGCGGCCGCCGGCGCACTTTGCGCATCCTCCGGCGTTTTGCCTTCTCCTCGGCCATGAAGCGCATGGCCACGGTGTCGCTCTTCAGCGGGGACCTGCCCCTCGGACAGCAGACCCCGGCCCTGGACCAGCCCCGGGTGCTGATCAGCGTCAAGGGAGCGGCCGAGGTGATTGGCGACCTGCTGGCCGACAAGCCGGAGTGGTATGATCGGGTGCAGCGGCACTACGCACGCCAGGGTCGCCGGGTCCTGGCCCTGGCCTATCGGTTTGCCGATGACCTAGCCACCGCCAATGGTGGGAGCATGGTCTCCAGTGAGTCCTCCTCGCCGGATGGCGGGTCTCCCGCCGGGTCGGATCTCAGCAATGAGGATGTCGATGACAATGTCGCGGCCGGCAACGGCACCAAGCAGTCGACCGGGGCCTCTCCCGGGTCTGGGACCAAGCAGTCGCAGCAGCCACAGCAGCAGTCGGGCTTCTGCGCGAAAACGGTCGGCGCCCGGGTGGCCGAGCTGACCCGCGACCAGGCCGAGTCGGATCTCCTGTTCGCCGGGTTCCTGGTGTGCTCCACGGCCCTGAAGCCGGATGCCGCCGAGTCGATTCGCCTGCTCCGCGAGTCGTCGCACCGGTGTGTCATGATCACCGGCGACAGCGCCCTGACCGGGGCCCATGTGGCTCGCGAGGTGGGCATCGTGGCCCGGCCGGCCATGTTCCTGGAGGAGGAGACGTCGACGGTGGGCGAGGAGTCCACCGGTGGCGCCGGCCCCGGCCCCGGCGCGGCGGCCCTGTCGCGGCTGGTGTTCGTCGATGAGGAGGACCGCGCGCAGCCGGTCGATCTCACCGATCCGGCGGGGCTGGAGCGCATCTTCTACGAGTATGATGTCTGTGTGTCGGGTGGTGCTCTGGGGCACTTCTTCCGGCTGATGGAGGCCGAAATGGAGCGGCGCACCCTGCGGGACTTGGCCCAGCGCCCGTCGCTGGCCCGGCTGCTGGCGCATTTCCGCGTCTTCGCCCGGACCTCGCCCGAGCAGAAGGAGCGCATCCTCACCCTGCTCAAGACCCTGGGCTATGTGACGCTCATGTGTGGCGATGGCACCAACGATGTGGGGGCCCTGAAGCAGGCGCACGTCGGGGTGGCCCTGTTGGATGGCCGGCCGGAGGATTTGAAGCTGCTGCTGGCGCAGATGCGCGCCCAGCAGCTCCAGCGCCAGCGCCAGGCCCTGGCCGAGCACCAGCGCCGCATTGCCGAAGCTCGCCAGCGCTTGTCGCAGGCGTCGGCGGCCGGCGGCGGCACCGGTGCCCCGCGGCCCTCCCTGCGCGAGGTCTTCCAGATTGCCCAGTCCACCATGGAGTCGGCCGAGGCCGGTGCCGGCGGCGGGGACGATCCCTTCGGCCAGCAGTCCATGGTCCGCCTGGGTGATGCCTCGATTGCGGCGCCCTTCACCTCGAAGTTGTCCCACGTGAAGGCCATCTGCGATGTGGTGCGCCAGGGGCGCGCCACGCTGGTGACCACCATGCAGATGTACACCATTCTGGCCCTGAACTCCCTGATTTCGGCACACTCCCTGAGTGTCCTCTACCTGGCGGGCATCAAGTTCAGCGACGTGCAGTACACCATCTCGGGGATCCTGCTGTCCGTGTGCTTCTTGTCCCTGTCGCGTGCCAAGGTGCGTTCATTGTCTTGCTGCCGGGTGCCGCTCGGCCTCCCTCGCTTTTCCCTGTGCCTGCCTTTGCCCCCTGCCCGCTTTTGTGCTTTCCTTTCTTCGGGAGTTTTTTTCTTTGCACGTGCCTGCGAGAGAGAGCGAGAGAGAGAGAGAGAGAGAGAGCACTGGTGCTGCTTTGCCAACCGCGCTAACCGTCGTGACCATGCGCTGTGGCCGGGTCTCTGCCAATGTGGCGGGGGAAAAAATAACCCTCCCCCATATCTCAGCCTGCCGAAAACCTCAGCCGCAAGCGCCCGCAGGCCAACATCTTCAACTTCTACATCATCCTCTCGATCCTCGGCCAGTTTGCCGTGCACATGTACTGCATGATCAGCGTCACCAACCTGGCCGAGACGATGATGGCCCAGGCCGGGGTCAAGCACGTCATCAATCTGGAGACTCCCTTCGAGCCGAACCTCCTGAACAATGGCATCTACCTGATTTCGCTTGCCATGCAAGTGTCCACCTTCGCCATCAACTACCAGGGCCGGCCCTTCCGCGAGTCGATCTATGAGAATCGGCCGCTCTTCCTGTCGCTGGCCGGTGTGTTTGGCCTGTGCATCGCCGCTGCCTCCGGGTTCCTGCATGATCAGCTGGTCAGCCCGGACGGGACTGGCGCCTCGGCCACCGAGACCCTGGCCGACTGGCTGCAGCTGGTTCCCTTCCCGGCGGAATTCCGCCAGCAGATGATGCGTCTGATTGCCATCGACCTTGTGGGTGCCTGGCTGGTGGAGCGCGTGTGCAACTTCCTCTTTGCCGACAACAAGCCCCGCCGGGAGCTGCGTCTGGACCACGAGTAGATGGAGCGAGGCGCAAAGCCCGTGCCACCTTCCTTTTTTCACACCCAGACTCCCGTGTGTAAGCCCACGGCTGAGAGACGAATGGGGGGCGGGGTGGCACCTCTTTCCACTCTTTCTCCACGGTAGCCACTCCACAATGGCAGAGGCTGCCTTGCGTCACCGCACGACGAGCGGGACATATCTCCCTCATTTCCCCGCCTTCCGGTGTGCGTGCAATCTCGGTGACAAACGAGAGAAAAAAAAAAACAATACATGAACCATAGATAAGGCGGTGGCATGGGCTGCTCCGGCTGGCTCCTGCTGGCGAGCAACCTCGGGTGTGGGGCCGGAGGAGGGGTGAGCGACGGACGAGTGCCCGTGTGCGGGCATCCCCTTGGGTCGAAGACCCCGACCGTCCCAAAGCCGGCCAAAAACTTCGGGGGCCATCGGCGCAGAAGGGGACTTCGGCATGTGGTTTGGGACATATGACCCGGCCTTTTGGCCGACCGGGGGCGTGATGCGTTCCCTCTGTCGGGCAGATTCAAAATGTCGTGTGATTGCCATAATGGCATTCTCATTGAAATTGAACATGGGCGACCGTTTCATGGATTCTATCGAAGGCACTCGCGGGTCAGTGCTCGTCCTGGACCGCCGCGGCCCTCGGACATTGCATGCCTGCTTCCCTTCTTGAGCCTGTGTGCCGGACAGCGCCGGGCCTCTTTTCCGTGGAGCTGCCCTCACAGATGCCCCGGGGAGTGGGGAGGGGGGCGGGGCTGGGGCCGAGCGCGAGAGCGGCCCTGTGAACTATATTTATAAACAACGCCCGGCCGGGGCGGGTGTGCGTTTACCGAGCCCCGGTCGAGCCCCTTTGTTTGCAGGGTACATCGAGACCGGGGCGGACGCCCGCCGGGGGCCGGCGCCGGGGGGGGGGGGGGGGGGGGGCCCTTTTGGGGTGTCTTTGGGAGAGTGGTATACGGGCGGCACGCGGGCGCCTCGTGCGAGGCGGAGACTCTGTTTGTGTCGACCGGCGGAGGGGCAGAGCACATCGGGGGAACCACCCCCCCCCCCCCGGAGCGGGTTTCGATGATCTTTCAAAGAGTGTTCCATGCCAATGGGCCAGCTTTTCAAGTGCGGGCTTTTTCGGCCCCGAGCCGGGAGGGCTCCAGCGGCGACACGACACCGGGGCGCCCTGGGGGGCCGGCGGGGAGGGGGATGCCCTTTTCGAATACAGGATCCAGGCGCCTGGCCGGGCCGGAGGCGGGTAGATCGCGGCGAAGCACCGACCACGGGGCCGGCGGGGGGGGGGGGGGCCACGCGTGGCCGCCCTGGGCGCGCCCGGCTCAGGGGACCCCATCCGCCGCCTCAGTGCCCCCGGCGGTGGTCTGAGAGAGGGGGAGAGCGAGCAAACAAAGGCTCGACGGCGCCGGGGCGTGCCCCGGGACCCCGGGAAACGGCCCCACCCCGGCAGCCGACTGGCGGCGGCGCTGCGACCCGCCGGACCAGGCCACCGGTGGCGTTTGGCCGGGAAGGAATGCATTGACCTTGCGGAGGGCGAGGGGCATGGCCTGCTGAGGGGCTCCAGGCAAAACACCCGAGCCAGGGGCGGCCGCTCGATTGGTGAGCCAAGTGCGGGGCAACTGCCGGGGTAGCCATTGTGGGCCGACCTCCGGGCCGGCGCTGGGGGCGCGTGGCCGCCGTTCGGGGGGCGCGCCGGGGGTGAGGGGGAAACAGGGCAACCGGCCGGCGAGCTTGGGCGAGGGGACGCCCTCACGCAAGAGGGGGGGGGGGCGCGCGGCGGGCCTCGGGCCTTCCCCGTCGGGCCATCCGGGATAGAAGCGCCTCCAAGCCGGGAGGCCGGGCCGTGTGCTCCAGGCTTCTGGATGCGCCGGTCCTCCTCCAAAGGAGCCCCAATGCCAACTTGAGCGGCCGGCCAGGCCGGCGCGCCGCACCGGCGACGTTCGGTCGACCCGCCCCCTCGGTGCATGGGGACCCGGCCGCAGGCGGTCGGCACCGGTTCGCTGTCGGCACAACTGGGCGCCGAGGGCAAGACCGGGCATCGAGCAAGGTCTGGCCGGCGGGGGGGGCCTGCCGCTCATGGTTCGACCAGCCGGTGCCCGAGCATGCTCGCGAGCGGGAAAGTCGGCAGCCGGCGGCCGGCAGCCGGGTGGTGTTCGCCCCGCATGGTTTTTCTCACCACACCAAGAGGCAGGTCTCAGTGCTGGTGTTCGCCTCGGCGTGCGAGTCGTGCG